ATTAATGGGCAGGAGGAAGAGCCCTCCCAACCCAAACCATTCTTTGATTCTATAATAAAATACTTTTAAACCCAGATAAACTTATCACCAACTTTGAGCAAGACACAGAACAACCTATAAAACAACACAACCCAAGGATGCTCAGGTAACAGCTGCCCAGAGAGGACTGGAACGAGATGGGCTTGAGGTCCCTCCCAACCCAAACCATTCCATGATCAGGAAATGACTGAACTGGCCATCCTGCTCCCGGTGCCAGCCCAGCAGGAGCACCAGGATCTCACCCACCTTCCTTGGAGCCCGTCCTGTCTGCGTTGGGCCCCGTGTTTGGGGTGTACTTGGTGTCCCTCGTGGCAGTGCTTTGTTTAGTCCAGTCAAAGTTATCCGTGTCGTCTTGGGTGAAAAGGCAAATATTCCCGTCCTCGAAGCCACAGTGGAACTCTCCTGCCAACACAGTAAAGAGCAGAAATTCAGTGGCCAAACCTGTTCCTCCAACCCTTGTTTTTCAAAGTGTTAATTATAATGTTAATTATAATGTTAATTATAATGTTAATTATACACGTTGGGATGATGTTCAATAACAGCAAATAGGAGTATTTGTGAATATTAATATATATATTTTTATTTTCCGCCGGTTTCTAGTGTTTAATGTCATTTTCTTTCGCAGCAACCTCAACAAAACGTAAATCAAACAAAATATCCTCAATCTGTGCTGGTGCTGCTTGAAATCATATTTAAATCTTATTGCACAGCTCGTCCTCTCTCATATTCAGGTTTATACATTTAGGGTAAACATGTACACATTTACATATTTATACGATTTTATATGCAAATTTATATATTTATTCAGTTTTAGACACAAATGTACATATTTATACGTTTTAGAGGTGTCGTTTCTTCTTACCCGGATTGCATTCCTAAAAAGTTGGGAAGAACAGGCACCACGTCCATAAAACATGAACCACAGGGAAAAAAAGTGGGAAGTAGATTACTTTTGTTTAGGGATAAAAAGATCAAAATCTAAATATTATCTCCAAGTGGCATCTCCTAAATTATCCTTAATTTCAGTAGGGTTGGGAAAGGAATTGGGGTGAAAATGAGAGCAAAGGAGCTTTAGGGTTGATGTGAAGAACATCCCTAAAAATCAGGACATGGATGGATTGCTCAGGAAGAGCGCTGGGATCCCATCACTGGATTACATTAATCAAGTAGAGGAATACCTGGAAAAAAGGTTTAGGTCTTATCTGCACCCATATGGGCAGGACAGGGGACTGTATCCTGTCCTGAAGGCACCTCCTGGACTTCCATCAGGAATTCTGGGGTGGATTCGAGGTCAGGGGGTAAAAGTGTAAGTCTAAAGAATTAAAAATTGCCAAGAACCTCAAAAAAGGATCACTGGGATCCTTCTCCTGCACAGAACAGAGGATCCAGGGCAGTGGGTTATGATGGGATGAGAAATTTGTCCTGATGGACATTTAGGAACCAAAATAAATCAAAATTTGGAAGTTCAGCTCTCATTGCAGAGCAAAATAAAACCTGCAAAAGCTTCATTTCACGTGCACAGACAATTCCTGCCGAGTTTACTCTTCCAGCAAAGTCAATTGATTTATCTGGGAAAACAAGGAAATCTCCCTTCTCCTGGGAGAATGCAGCTGCCTGCACACCCGGCCCGGTTGAAAGGGGGGCAATTTATATTCATTGCTCTGAGGAACTCAAACACCCAGCACCAGGGGATTATTCATCTCTGTTTCACTGAGAAGGTGGATAAATGTTTGCAGGTTTGGGGAACTATAAATCCAAACTATAAACCCACTTAAGCCACTGGAGCTTCCCTGGTAATCAGTGAGGACAGAGGGACCTGGGGCTTAGCTTGGGCTTGTAGTGCTAAGCAAGAACCTTGGGCTGAGGCTTAGTTACACTCAGGTGATAGTGCAGGCTCAAGAGCAGGCTGGAAAAAATCCATTCCAAACCACAAGGTGCTTAAGGAATGATTTCCAAGTCTTATTCTGCTCCCGCCCGGCCAAAGAAAGCACAAGGCCAATGGGAACCTGAGGGGATTTAGGAAGAGGGTTATCAGCAGGTCAGGGAGGGGATCCTGCCCCTCTGCTCAGCCCTGGGAGGCACATCTGGAATGCTTTGTCCAGCTCTGGGCTCCTCTGGATGAGGAAATCATGGAGATCCTGGAAGATGATTCTCTCATGGAGATGATGAAGGGCCTGGAGCATCTCTGAGGGAGCTGGGGCTGTTCAGCCTCCAGAGGGGACTTCCCCAAGGGCTGGCAGGGCCTGCAGGGAGGGTGTTGGATTCCAAAAATTTGGGTATGAGAAAAAGGAAAACTGCTAAGTTTAAACAAAGCCTTGGGCTGAGAGAGACTGGGGAAAAAATCCTCCATCCAGAGTCCAGCCAAGGATCCATTGATGTCACGGGTTTGGAATGTCCTGCCCAAGCCTGGAGAAACCACGCCCTGATCTCATCAGACCTCTGCATAAAACCCATTGTGTTCTCCCCTTTTTGCATGTGTATCCTCTGTATCCCTTGCCCAATACTTAATCCCCCTTGGAAAATCCCCCAAGTCGGGTTTTTCCCATGAGGTAATTCCTGGGACCCCAAATGGGTTAACCTGGGTTTTCCCTTGATGTCACCCCTGTGAAAACCCCTGTTTAGAATAACCCCAGCCTCCTTATGAATATGTAACCCCCTGTTAAATATGTAAACCCTGAACCTTTAAAAACGAACTTGTGAGTCCAAATAAACTATTCCAGTTTTCTGCCTCCCCTGGGATCGCGTTGGCATTATTGACTCACTCCAGGAGGGGGCAGAGGATGCCCAGGCTCTGCTCGGGGGGGGCCCAGCAATGGCACAGCAGGAACGGGCAGGAACTGATGCCCAGCAAGTGCCACCTGCACAGGAGGAAGAACTTCTTGGCTGGGCAGTGACCCAGCCCTGAGCAGATTGGCCAGAGAGGGGGGGAGTCTCCTCCCTGGGGATATTCCAGAGCCCTCTGGACACAAT